AAGATCATAAAGGATCGTCCTGGACGATCCAAAATCATCCAGTACGATTAGTTCAAAACTTTATATTTTGGATTTGATTAGATCTCACTCCCTTGAGTGTGTGTATGCATGGGCACCAAGCAAGCATACTCCCTTACAGGACTTGATTCAAGAAATAAAAAATTACATTATTGAATATTACAGACTAAAAATATTTTCTCCTAAACTCCCCCTCACTAAGATAAAACTTTAAAGCTGGAGAAAATTAAACTTTTTTTTTTAATTTTTTATTTTAAAATAGAACAAAGTAAAATAAAATAAATAACTAAAACAAATATAAAAAAACAACACATTCTCCCTCTTTAACATTATCAAAAAGAGGAGGGGCACAAACAATCAGAAAAAAAAATAATTAGAAAACAAAATGATCCCTGATCTAGTGAAATAAATCAAATATTGTTAAAATGAGAAAGTTATCTCTTGATTTTATTCAAAAACTTAGTAAGGAATGTATTGAGAACGCATAACCAAAAAGATTAGAAATTCAGAAATTGTTAAGCCAAGCTCAAGTTCTTTTTAAGGCTCAAACTTTTTAATACAATATCTAAATCAAGAAACAAATTAGAAAAAAAACATTATTTTTGTTAAAACTCCTTTCATAAAATATATCTAATAGAAGATTAATGCAAAAATTGGTAAATCAGGAATCATGATTTTCAAGCTCGAAGTATTGAAAATATCAAGGGTTTTTCTAAGCTTTAAGAAGTATAAGAAATGTTAGCTTTTTTTGTGGGCTCATTTTATTCATCTTGTCAGTTATTTGACGCACTTTGCGCTTCTTTTAATTTTTGATACACTTTGTGTATTTTTCTCAATTTGGCATCATTGCGCATCTTTCGATTTGACTTCATTGGACACTTTTTTTCAATCAAAAGTGCCACCTTTTTGAAAATTTTAAAACAAAAGCAAACCCATTATATTTATAAAACGAACTACTTGATTAAAAAAATTATGAGGTAGATTTAACAACTTGCAAAAGATCCCTATGCGATAAACAAAATGTAGGGAGATGAAAAAATTCAATTTGTAATATGATGAAGATTTTGAATCAAAAATAGAATAACTTTTTTGAGAAAAGAGATAGAGAGACAAAATTATGAGTTTCTTTCATTTGACTGTTTTTAGAGAAGTCAACCACAACTTACATAAGAATTAAAAAAAAAATAGGAGGTATGTTTTTCATTTTTAGAAAACAATGTTCTTTTAAAAAAATTTTGATTTTCTAAAGTGTATAAAAAAAGTGATATATGTTTGTTGATCAGAGAAAACTTCACAAAAATAAGTATAAAAACTAAATTAAAATTTTAACGCAATAACAAAAACGAAGAAAAAGCTAAACTCATTGAAGACATTGAAAATAAACAAAAATGCAAAAAATAAATAAAAATATAATGAACAACAAAAAACATGCATACACAAACAAATAAACACAAAAAGGCTTTAAACATTATCTTGCTCTTGGTTTGATGATTCAGAAGCTAGGTCTGCCCAGGAGATTTTTTGCTTTTCATTATTTTCCCTTTTTACAATTTACTCAGCTTTACCTTTTTCTTTTGCATGAAGAGTTCTCAAATTAGGGCACTGATTTTTCATATGTCCAAATTTCCTACAACCAAGGCAAATAACATCAGAAGAAATCTTAACATTCTTACAATTTTTACTTTGTTCCACTTTTGTTGATGCTTATGCTTGTGCTTTAGTAACCTTTCCAATTTGCTTGTTAACTCATCACTTTCGTCATCTACTAAGCCACTTTTCTCCGTGTCTTCAACCTTAGCACTATCGTTTCACCTGTATCCAAAAGTCTTTGACCCAAACTTTGCTGTTAGTCAATGAGTGAGCAAATCAAATTATCAATAGAATATTCATTCAAATTTTTTGATTCACAAATAACAACAACTTTGGCATCAAACTTATCAAGTAGAAAACGTAAAATTTTATTGACTTTTTCAAAATTTGAAAATTCTTTACCTAAAGCATATAATGATGTCATTATTTGAATAAACTTAGTATACATGTCTAAGATCGTCTCGTAAGGTTTCATGTAAAATAGTTCATAATCATGCATTAAAGTATTCAACCTTGATTGCTTGATTTCACTAGAGCTTTCGTATATAATTTGTAATTTATTCAAAATTTTCTTGCCAGTAGTGCACGTGGTAACAGACATACAATCTTCAGAATTTAAAGCACAGAAAAAACAGTTTAATGATTTAGCATTAAATTGGGCATTAATTTGTTCTTACATACTCCATTGATTAAAAGAAATATCAGTTTTAATTCCATCTATTACACGAGACGATACAAAATAACCAGTTAAAATTATTTGTTACATTCGGTAATCATTGATTGCAAGAAAGTAAATATGCGAATTTTCCAACAATCAAAAGTAATATTTTCAAATAAATGTGGTCTGATGATTGAATAATCTTCCGCAATTACAAAAATTAGTCATGGATCGAAATTCAAAAGTTTTTAAAAACTCGTTTTTATGAATCCCATTCTGATACAACTTGAAAGTTCGTTAGGGATGTTAAGTCCTTATGAACTAGCCCATGGCTGAGCAAAGGGGGGGTGAACTGGTATTTTAAAAAATTTCTCAATCAAAATACAAACTCAAACCAAATCAAAATTCACCATAAAGAAAATCAAAATATAAAAATTAAATGCGAAAATAATAAAGGAAAGAACACACCAGATTTATAGTGATTCTGTCAAACCTTGACCCACGTCCACTCCACAGTGGCACTCTTCGAGTATTGGTCTAAACTTAGTGTCTCTTCTTTAGCCCCCACAGCTAGGCGGAGAAACCCTTACAAAATCCCTTCCACCTTCCCTGGTGCGGCGGAGTAGCGGGTCCTTTGACACCGAAGAGATCTTCTTCTTCCCAAAACTTCCCTCAAGACGAGCTTTGAATCCGATGGTACTAAGGCGCAAGCTTGTCGGAGCAACCGTGTGAAACCCTCTCTACACTCCCTTGAAACCCCCTCCAAGGATCTTCTCTCTCTCTCAAACTCAACCCTTTTCTCTCTCCCTTTCAAGCCATCTATTCAAGTTTTCTCCAAAAGAAACGAAGCCTCAATGGCTGCCAGAAACACTTTCAAAATCTTTGACAAAGCTTAAATAGAAGAGCTCCAAAAAGGCTCTTAAATGCACCAAACCAACATTATCGTCCAGGATGATTGCAGGATCGTCCCGTACGATCAGAAAATCCTAAAAACTCAATTTTGGCGCCAAATATCGTCCTGGACGATCGCAGGATCATCCCGTACGATGCGCTTAAAAAGTGGGCTTCAGAAAAACCTAAAAACTCAATTTCGGCACCAAAAATCGTCCTGGACGATCGCAGGATCGTCCTGTACGATGTGCAGATTTTGACCTGATAGTCCCGGACGATATTAGGATAGTCCAGGACGATCAGTGCAAAATTGTACAGATCGTTTAGGATGATATCGTGGATCGTCCGGGTCGATATGATATTTCGGCTTGGACGATTTAGGAAAATCAAGTATGTCGGCAAACATCGTCCTGTACGATATATAGATCGCCCAGGACGATCAGATTGAAAAATTTAACCATAATTAACCCCCTAATCATATGATCAATTTAGACATGATTTGTATTGATCGTCCGGGACGATTAGAACAAAAAATAAATCTTAAAATTATGCCTAAATTAGCATTGCCAGCTGTTTTCTAAGATCATAAAAGATCGTTCTGGACGATCCAAAATCATCGAGTATGATTAGTTCAGAACTTGATCTTCTGGATTTGACTAGATCTCACCCTTGAGTGTGTGTGTGCATGGTCACCAAGCAAGCATACTCCGTTGCAGGACTTAACTCAAGAAATAAAAAATTACATCAATGAATATTATAGACCCTTTACAACATAATATTATTCAACCCAATCTTGAGCTCTGATTCTTTGTTTGATGTTGCATGGTATTCCTAAAATGTTAGTATACACACAAACAAATATAGAATGAAAAATACTATGGGATATAAAAATGTTTGATATCATCAAAAACATAAAACTCGTGAGCTCAAGTCACAACAGTTAATGCATGCCAGCTATTCACGCCATATTTGCTCAAGTCCATTTTCTTAAAAGTTCCATGAACAGACTTACCCGTTCAAAGAGCAAAATACAAAAGAAGATGAAAATTTACTCTTCAAACCTCAAAAAAAAAAAAAAGGGCCTGCTTAGAGGGTTGCTCTCAAAAAGGTGGAATTAACCCCTGATCAACCACCTCCCTAGAAGCAGCCTGATTACCCACCTTGTCAGCTCCCTCAAACAATAAACCCCAACTGCAGGCTTAGGAGGGAGAAACAAGAGCTTCCAAGAGAAACAATGACCATAGCTGCAACCAAGGTAACCATGTGCAAGAGTCTGAACTCAGCCAAGAAAACTATAACATCCAATATCCGCACAAAGAGCTAAAGACCCTAGGAGGTGGGAAATTCAGCTGTGCTTAAATGTACTAAAGCAAGAGAAACTTGGAAACCGAGCAGCCAATGGTTTCCACGGGTTCATGGGACAGTTTTTGGCCCACAAATGTTAAAGTCTACCATAAGATGATTAAAAAAAGAAACCTGAAGTCTGTCTTTAATTCTTGTGTGTTCCATTTAGCTGACAAACAGGATTACTTTGTCATAGATAAGGTGAAGTTAAGAAAATATGTATAACATGCCAAGCTCCATCACAATAGATCCTTAAGGTCTATTATTTTAGCTGAATTCACATGGTCTTTTTCAGTTCTGAAAGGATTCTTATTTCATGAATGCAGTATATTTTTTTGCTTCCGTTTACTTGTCATATGTTTTAAAGACCTGCAAGCATAAAAAAATTGACCGTTTGTTTATCAACTAGTCAGTTGAGCCAAGCCATCTAAGGCTGCAAGCTTACTTAGTTTTTGATGGCTTCCAGAAAATTATCATTTTGTTCTCTCCTCATTGGCAGCTATACTTTCAAATCGAACAAGATAAAGGATCAAAAGCAACACAGTTGACAGCCATCACAGATCTCTTTGGCAATATAGTTCATGAACCTTGTTATAATCAATTAAGGTTATCTATTGACTGAACGAACTTCTTTGCTGCTATGGTGTTTATCTCATCTGTTCTGCCAAAATTTAACTTGGTTGATTCGTTCATTTTTCTACTAGATTCATCCTTTGATTTTTCAAGTTATATGCTTAAGATTTCAGGTTGCTCTCCTGATTCGATGATGTTATTCTTGTATGCTAAACTATAGGACAAAGGAGCAGCTTGGATATGTTGTTGAGTGTGGTCCACGGATGACATATCGTGTATTAGGTTTTTGTTTTCGCGTACAATCATCCAATTATAATCCTTGTTATTTGCATCAGAGGATTGACAACTTTGTTGGTGGCCTTCCTGATATACTGGTAAGCTTCAAAGATATGTTATAAAAGATATGATATGAATAGAAGCTTTTGTGGACTTTTTTTTTTCTGTATTGAACTTTGGCATTTCATATATTCCATGATGTTGCTTGTGGTATTTAGTGATTCCAGTATTTCAAAGCTTGAAAGCTTTGTTTTGCGTGAAGATAATGAAATGTCAATTTGAATTTCATGTTTGATACAGTGCTTCAATTCTTTTCTGAATCCGATCTCATTATAATTTATCAACCTAAGGTTACCTTAAAAGTGTTTAACTTTTCATGTGGTATATAGTGAGAAATTGTGTTCACTAGGTATCTAAATGATGTACTATATCGTTTATATAAGAAAATACTTATTAATCAATCAATGCTTTGAGCTATTGAGAGTGGATTACATTCTCTCGATTTCCCATTTGGAGTCAAAATTTGCAAGGTACATGCCATCCCCTTGAAAGGATTTTGACAGCCAGTGTATGATTAGTACTCGTCAAGAAAATCTATTCTCTTTGACTTTCCGTTACAGAACTATTTGGTCCAAGGAAATGCCATAATTTTTTTTTTTACTGTATTCTGATTGAATTTAGCATGATCATTTCAACTAATTTTTGGCAATTCCAGGAGAAGCTTGATGATGAATCTTTTGAGAACCATAAAAGTGGTTTGATAGCAAACAAACTGGAAAAAGATCCGTCTCTTTTATATGAAACTGAACGGTACTGGACACAAATTGTGGATAAAAGGTAAATTTCATTCTTTATTGAAATTATGATTGCATAGGCAATGTACAATAATAGGATAGACTCCAATCTTTTGTAGAAATCAAGTATTTTTTTTCTCTATATGTATATTTAACATTATTTTAAAAAAATGTGTTGTTTTAGATATTCTAAAAAATTGTGTGATGATGAGGACTGGTAATATTGACTGAATGTAACATCATTGTGTGATTGAAATTGCCTCGATGGATTCAGGATCAGTCTCGATCACTTCATGTTTTTTCAATCTCACACGCAAGTTGTCAAATGGAGAAGAGAACATAATTCAAGATATTTTATGTGAAAAACTTTTAGAAGGAAACGATCATGGGGTTTAGCCCATTTGAATATCATCCACTATTTGTAGAAAATTAGGAGGAAAATAAGGCTATCCCATATATGATCCCTTTGATTTCCTCTTTCTAATGAGCTTAATTTTTAGTCATATCCATCAATAGAATTTATATCTTGCATTTCTTTTCTATATGACCCTTTTGGTTACTCTTAGAAATACAACACCCCTAGTATTCCTAGGCGATGTAATTGTAGGGTTCCTTGGAGTGCAAATGGTGGTAGATATGGTCATGGAAGATATTGGTCTTTTAGTTGACCTGAGGATGGATTCATGGGGAATAAGACCTTTAAACCTAAAACTTTGAGGTATCTTTTTTTGCTTCTCTAATAGTAACGTACAATGAAACGCATCTTGTAACAGTTGGGTTTCATAAAGCTCAATATCATTCCTTATTTCATTTCTATAACCTTTAAAAAATTTATTGGCAAGTTGTCATTCATCATATGAACATTTGGTTCTAGAATATAGGTCATTTTAAGTATTCTAATTGTTTGTCACTTTTAGGTTCCCTTGCCTTCAGTTGTCCATGAAGTTTTTATCATAGTGTCTTGGATAATACTTTGACTGTAACGCCACCTTCGTCTCAATCTGTATAAGGGTAGTTCAACTTAATCTCTCTTTCTGTGCTCGAATGTTATCCAGTAGATTTTTGTTTGCCCTGTTAACTTCATCTTAGCAAAGGATACTCTTTGGAATTGGAATTGATCAAAATCATTCCAATCAAAGAATTTTTCCATTTGGTTAAGCTAATCAAGGAAACTTTTAGGGCCATGAATTCTATTAAATACGGTTGCTTCTACCTTAATTTTATTACTAAGATCATTGGAGTCATCAAACACTACTTCAACGTTTTAAAAGGCGAAATCGGGAATCGAGGCGTTTTGGCTAAGCGAGGCGAGGCGTAAGCCTCAAAAATTATAAAAATAAAGCAATTTAAAATTATGAATTATGACAAAAATGTCAAAAAATAACAAAATATTATGTCATTTATGAATTTGATGATTTTTTCTAAGATAATATTAGTATATTACTGGAAAAGAAGATTTAAAATAAACTCACTTAAAAATAAAACATCCCTTTAGGATCAAGACCCAATGTAGGCTCATCATCACTTTGATTTTCTTCAGAAGAATCTTCATAATTAATATCAAAGTCAATCCTCAAACTCTTCTTCATCTATAATATTTTTTCCTTTATCCCCTATATCAGTTAATATTTCGTTAGCTCTAAAATGAAACAATAATAGCATAAAAAAATAATTCATTATATTTAAGAATACCTTTGAATTTTTTTGAAACTCCAATCTCACTTTGTTTCTTACTTTTATACACATGAGTAGTTGCTTCACTGTCTTCATTGATTTGAGTTTCGCCTTCTAGTTCAACTTCAGAAACATCAACATTCTTAGGAGTAACTCATTCATCATCAGATTGTAAATCATCAACAAGTAAATGGTCAATTTCATTATCAATGCTTCCTTGCTTCTGTAATTTAAGATGTCTATCTTTCAGTTTTTTATTAAACATAACATAAACAAGTTTGTTCATTCGATCTGTGACCAATCGATTTCTTCTCTTAGTATGAATTTGATTGAAGATGCTCCAATTATGCTCGCATGCAGAAGCAGAACATGTTAAGCTAAAAACTTTAACTGCAAAAAACTTTCAATTCAGGAACATCATCTCCAAACTGACTCTACCAACGTTCTACATGAAAATGAATAATATTTTATGAATATTGATTGAAGTATAAGACTTGAACATAAATATTAAAATTAAAATTGTAAATATACAAATTATAAACATACTAGGAGATCGTGTTTTGTAGCATGCTTGTGCTGCTCTAAATCCAAACATTCCCTTCTTTAGATGAAATTCCTCAAGTTGATCATTCACTTTGAGGTAGTCTTCTTCAGAAATGAGTCTGTCCATACATGCATACAAACCAGTTTTAACCTCTTTATCAACATGAAAGTCTTTATCATAATGAAATTGAGGGTTTAAATAGTATGCAGCAGCATGTAAGTGTTGGTGTAATTGACGATCCCACTTTTCATCTAATGAGTCGTCCGCTTTTTTAATTGTAGTGACTACTTTAGGTACCCTTCTAAAATAATGTTCTTCTTTAGGGTTATGTTGTGGGCCACCTAATAATTTAAGATTTATGATATGAATGAATGTTATATTAATAATAGGTTGTGCATGTACCCTAAGGATATTTGTTGCAGTTGCTTCATCATGGTTGTATTTAGTTGATATATCTTGCAATTTGATCTTATTATATCCTATTGCTTCTTGCACCCTAAGTTTGCCATTATGAAGTATAATGAACAATTCTGCGATACACTTGGCTAGCCTTTCTAGTTGATCCATAGATGAAGTTCTTTTCTTTTAAACATATAATTTATAAAAAAAAGGGTAAGCCTTTAAACAATAGCATACAACTTGTTTCCACATATAATAACAATTATGCAATTAATCAAGTTGTGACTAAGTACATAACAAGTGGTATTATTTTCTTCACATTCAAGGGTTGTAAGACTAATGATTTAACTTGGATCGCACCCATACTTGTTAGTGGTGAATAGCGCACCTTAGTGCAAAAGCCTACATGGAGCCATAACACAGCATATAGAACGATGCATGCTATTTTAAACATGATACAAAATATTATAAATTAGAATGTTCATTTGGTTACCTAATAGTATTAGATGTAAATAACATTTTTGAATAACTTTAGCATATTAGGTCTTGAAGGAAAAGATTGGTGCAAGCAAGCTTATTGTACAAGTTCACAAAACTTTGACTATTATGAAACAAGCTGGTTATGGTATATATCTCGAAGGAGATGATTGTTTCTTAAAAGAGATTGCATCACATGCTTTGAGGCGACAATGGTGGCTCATATATACTCATGAGGATCTTGGTGTCCCTTGGAGCTCTAGAATTCTCCAAATATCTATTTTTTGTCAGTGTTTCAAAATTCTCTAGAATTCTCCGTTGTTTGGAATGCCTCAAATGATATGAATTGTGCCATATTTATAAATTTAAAAATGGTGTTTTGTCATTGTCTAGAATATGATAGAATATTCCATTCAGATGGATGTGGCACTAGATGCCAATGTTAGAAGAAGTGGACTAACAAGTAGAGCTCAGAGCTAGAAGAAATTTGAAAATAATCAAGGTCTCGTGACAAGGAGGAAGATGAAGTCTATTTAGTAGAATTTATATTTTATGTGTGATGATTCTTGTTTAAGAATATGTATTTGTCATTTTAAAATTTTGGTTATTAGTATAATTTGAAAATGATTATTCAAATTTTTTATTTTTATTTTTTTTTAAATTTGAAGTTTAGGTTTTCAAATATTGAGAGAATGTAATTTTTATTAATGTGAAAATGTTTATTTGAATGAAAGAATTCAAATAAATATTAGGCATGAATGGTTGGCTAGCCAAAGCAAAGTGGAGGGGTAGTTATTTGGTAGCATACTTGTTAACGGCGAATGGCGCACCATGGCGCAAAGGTCCTATTTCTGCTATGGCGCATAGCACACGGCGCGACGCGCGCCATTTTGAACATGACACAAATTATAAAAGAATTATAAAATAATAAGCATGAATATGAAATATCATTAAATTGAAAAATAAACTATCATAATAACAAGCAAACAATGACAATACAAATAAATAGCAATCCAATATAATTTCAAGTCCAATAAGTAGTTAATCTTCATACAACTAAAATATATTTAAATGAAAGCAAATAGCATTTAGAAGATAATAATATGCAATCTAACATTTATCTTAATACCTTTAATATATTTAAAAATTAGAAAATATATCATCTTAAAAATTAAAAATTAAAATAAATAAAAAAATATTTATAAATACATTAAGCAAATCTTAAAACAAATGGCGCGCGCTATTTTGCGCCGTACACCATGCGCCATGGTGCGCATGTGACTCAAATAGCGCGCGCCATTTTGAACGTTTGCGATGCGCCATACACATGGTGTTGTAGGTGCGCCATGACGCTCGCTATTTTACGCCATTGATATCTATGTTTGGTAGTTCCTCTCTCTCCTACTTACTAGTGTGGCTAGCCCCCCTTATCCTTTTCTATCTTATTATGAATTTCAAATCGATAGCTGCAAGTCTATATATATTTGCTATATTGAGAAGTGAAAGTGTTGATTTTGTTTTGCTAAATATTGAATTTTATTCCAAGGAAGAGGTGGCTTGGTGGCTGGCCTAACTTTTAAAGGAGTTTGGTGATTCCTTTAAGCTTTGCCACTTTGGTGAGTGGTAAATTCTCATGTCCATAAACCCTATCTAGCTCTAGCATTAGAACAGGAAACCCTAAATTCTAAATCTTAAGTTGGGACTTTCAGATAAAGCAACTTTTCCTTGAAACTAGAACCACCTTTCAACTACTTGGTCAATTTTCATCGCTGGGAAACTTAACGCCACTATGCTTAAACCATTATTTCTAAGGATCATGCCTAACACATTTTGTAAGCCTTCCAAGTGCAATTCAGTGATCCTTTAAAGGGCTAACCTAGGCCACACTATAGATGCCAACATTGAACCATGCAGATTGTATATTTTTATAATTAAAATATGATCCAATC